CCGCTCCCTTAAGGACCCAATAATGATAGAGTGCCAATGAAACCGAAGGGGATTAGTACTTGGTTGAGGTTTCAATTTTCGTCCTTGCTGTAGATACAGCAATGAAAGTTTTTCCGTACTCCTTATACTAGAACCCCAAGAGGATGCTCCAAATTATACCCTAAATAAACCCTAAACCCCCTAAATCCTAAAACCTAAACCCTTAAATGGAAGCCCTGTTCGCGGCTGTTAGCGATTGCTGCGGTGAGGCGGAACCTCATTCTCAAAGAATCCGTGTGGCGCCTGCTTGGAAGTGGAGATGTCACCTCTCGCCTGGAGGACAAAGGCCAAAAAAATACAGGGTTTAGGGTTTAGGGTTTAGGGTTCAGGGTTTAGGGTTTAGGATTTAGGGTTTAGGGTTTAGGGTTTAGGATTTAGGATTTAGGGTTTAGGGTTTAGGGTTTCGGGTTTAGGGTTTAGGGTGTCGTGAGCCCACATCTTGCCACAACCCATTGGCCTCAACAGCTGGTCGATGACCTCCAAAAGGTACCACATGCTGCTCTCGGCCTCAGGCTTTGCATACACAACAAAATCAGAACGGCTGCCTACAATACCGGAAGTGTATACCCTTCAAACCCTAAACCCTAAACCCTAAACCCTAAACCCTAAACCCTAAACCGAGGGAAAGGTGCCTTAAGCATTGGGCGAAGATTCCTTAGCCTCAAGGCGGATACCGGGCAACTGGGGAGAGGTCCGGTTGAAGAGCCAGAGTTGATGCACCAACGCCCACAAAGCACCAGCGAAGGTCCTGGCTACAAGGCATGGCCACCACGTCCTGAAGCCCACCAGCCGAATCACATCCCAAAACCCAATATAGACCTCCAAATAGTAGGATCCCGACACACTAAACCCTAAACCCTGAACCCTAAACCCTAAGCCCTAAACCCTAAACCCTAAGCCCTAAACCCTAAACCCCTTGGAACTGCCCAGGTGGCACCTCCCCCACCGAGGGCTTCCGAGTGCCGGGCGGGCACTTGCAACCATTGCTCCGTCTTTGGAAGCAAGCTCGAGACCACATGCACCATATAGCCCTCAGGGTCTGCACCGCGACTTTGGGTGGTTTAGGGTTTAGGGTTTAGGGTTTCGGGTTTAGGGTTTAGGTTTAGGGTTTAGGGTTTCGGGTTTAGGGTTTATGGTTTAGGGTACTTCTACTTGCTGAGGGCAGTGCACTTGACACTCACCCCTCATAGCTTTCACGACCAGCGCCTCACCCTAAACCGTAATTGCCCTGAACCCTGCTTGGTTTAATGGGGTCGCAGATATGGTAGCCAAAGCCACGGAAGGTTCTTCTTGGTTATTCTGAGTTGGTTAAACAACAAGCTGCACTATGACACCGATGTCGCAGCGTGTGTTGTCCATAACCCTGAATCCGAAACAACGGTCCCCAAGCCTGCTCCAGTTAGCCTGCACATTTTTCAGGGTGATGGTGATGATTCTTGGAAGTCGTCTGTCGAAGAAAATGAATGTGGTGAATCCCTCCACCCTAAACGCATGAAAGCGCTCTGCAGTTGGTTGCTGCGTTCCTTCCACAGGCAATGGTACTTTTCAAGATACGTCCTGGGATGTGTTTTTGTTTTCCATAGTGCTGGTGTTAGTATCCCTGTTTTGGGTGGAAGGACAATATGTCAGAAGAGGTGACAGTGCAGACTTTGTGCTCGCGGAACCTACGGCGGCCCAACTGGTGAAAACGTTTAGGAGGAGCGTTGCCAAGGCGCAGTCGTGCCCCACAACGGCAAAACAACAGTTTCAACAGCAAAGCTGGGCTGGTCACAAAGAACTACCGGAGTGATCGGGTGGCCTTGTCATGATACATTCTGTTTCTTTCCTGCCTTTGAGGACTTCAGGCGTCAAACTGCTTGCAAAAACGCCGGTGCAGAGGCCGAGCCTGTCATTCCCTCCTGACTTGATATGTGAATTCGTGATCTCGGCTCGAACTTCACATTGTGATCCTTCTGATTCTTTTATTGCCGGTAGAACCCTGAACCCCCATAAACCCTAAATCCTAAACCCCAAACCCTAAACCCTAAACCCGAAGCCCTAAGCCCTGAACCCTCACAAGCCGCTCCCGCCTGACCCATGGACAGAAGCTGGAGGTTCGGCCAAGTCCAGGAAGATCGCCTGCAGACCCACAGGGAGGGGGGTTGGGGGGTTTAGGGTTTAGGGTTTAGGGTTTAGGGTTTAGGGTTTAGGGTTTAGGGTTTAGGGTTTAGGTTTAGGTTAGGGTTTAGGTTTAGGGTTTACGGTTTAGGTTTTGAACTAGGGTCCGGTCTTGAGAGAACGGGGATGCTGTTGTCACAGGTTCCGGGGTACATTTCTTCGCATTGTTAACCATGTGTTTCCGTGCTTCAACAAGTTACCGCTCTCTCCCTGTCACACCTTGAGACCCTCAGAATCCAACGCACTCTGGCTCCTGTTAGAATGGATTCTTGTCTCACAAGACTCATGAAGGTTCCCACGTGTTCTTGCTACTTAGATCATGGAAATACTTAAAGAGACTCGAAGAGATGTAAAATTTCTAGGATCCCTGTGCTGCGTTACGAACTGCATGGTCAAGCAGAAGCGGAGCGGAGGATGTGCAACATGTGTTCAGCAATGTCTAAGACATTGGGTATTTGAGCATAAGGACATCGAACCCATCGAGACCGACATGCTCAGGTAGAAAGAGGTCAGAGACTCTCAATCCCCTACCCAGTGTTTCCTCTATATGTATGTATATGCGCTCCCCACTGTTTCACATCTCACGCATGAAGCTCTGCAAATATGGTCTGGTGGCTGTGATCGGAAATGCAATCTCCTGCAGAACCCAGTCTTGGCGCTGGGACCACTCGCAGGCGAGGCCGTGCCGCGACAGGCCGTCGCTGGGGTTCGAGGTGGAGTCTATCCACTCGAAGAACGTCTTCATATCGAGGCGGATCCTCAAAATGGCCGAAACAAAAGATATTTCGTGAACATCGAGTTCTTTGGACGCACCATATATGGCACTACTGACCGCTGACTGGTTATCTATGAACCATAATGCGTCTTGGTCGGCAAGGGCATCCCCATACAGGATAGGCAGCAGTAGCACGCACAGTGTTTCACCCGGATAGATTTGCTGAGTGTTTTCTTTCCAGGCCTCGACAACTGCGCAGGGGACTAGGCAAGTACCGCCGAAAGGTTGGCCCCCATTGGGCGGGAACAGTACCCAGCCTAAGCGCAAGGCACCTTGCTCGAAAGATGCATCTGTATATATACGGAAAAACGGCGGTGGGCTACCTACAATGGGTATGTCACGGGGAAGAGCCGACGACACCATCACTTGCAAGGCACGCAAGGTTCGCAAGTCCTCCACTGCAAGGGTTACAGGCTCCTCGGCTTGACACCGTCTGAGCAACGGAGCAGCATAACGTGCACCGGGGCCTGTGCATGCAGTGAAGAGCCACGTGAGCTCGCCCCTCAATTTGCCGGCATCATCTCGCGACATGTGCTGCTTTTGCAAGATATCGTCCAACCTAGCTACTACCTTACAAGTTGTAGCCAGCTTGGGCTGACAGCGAATGCTTCCTGTGGACTCAGCCTCCCCCACATGGATAGATGTACCTAGGTAGTGTCTATCTGCAGCTGGAGAAAATCCTTTGGGGAGTTGAGGCGGCGCGCCAAACGCCTTAAAGATGCAGTGTAACCCTTTGTGAGAGACATCGGAGTTTCTGATGAACTCCAGGCTGAGCTCGTCATCAAAGTAAGCAGATGTCATGGCCGACGTGCATCTTCTAGCAGCAGCTATGCCAAGCAGGGGAAACCTGTTGAAAGCAACAACCGCAGACTCCAAACCAAACGCTAAACCATACAAAATGGTGAAACGCCAACCCTGACCCTCAACAAAGATGGCCACCGAGGAGAACCGAAGGTGGTCGTCACTGACAGGGTGGCCCCTGTTGCTAGCCGCATGGAGAACCATCCAGGCAGATGTTCGGGCTGACGAACTTGCATGGCATCAGTGACTGCTCTTGCCGCGCTGGCTACAAAGTCTACTGACACAACATGAATGGTTTCCTCCATTTCGGTGTGAGCATTGTGCATTGTCCGCCGAGCATTGTCGATGGCTCGCACCTTCCCGCAGGGTTGCGTAACCAGGAACCGTTCTAGCGGCCGCCACTGGTTTTTCCCGAACATGCAGTCCATCTGAGTTCGTGTGAAAAATTCACTGCAAAAACCCTTTTGCTGCTCCTCTTGGGTAAGGCGAAGGATTTCCTTAGAGTCTCGGGAAGGGGGCTGCTGCATAATTGCGTCTACTGCGTCTTTGGCCGATGTAGACAGCCAGGCATGAGTATCTGCGTCCTTCGAGTCTTGACACACGGAACGGAATACACCTGATGCCGGGACCTTGCCCACCACTGGGAAACCGAGCAGCATCTGCTGGGCTTGGGTGACATCTGGCCACCGGAGCAGCGTGGTAAACAGTGCGATCACCGCACAGTTCTTGGTTGAAGCAACACGATTGGCACTTGCACAACGGTGCGGGGCAAGTGCATCCTGGAGTGGCTGCACTGCCAACACACAGCTATGGATGCAGTCCCTCTGCCTCTGCGCAAGAATGGGGGTCCATTCGCCCCAGGTTGCCACTGTGTAGGCAACAAAATGAACATCATCTTCTGGCCACGCTGCATGCGTAAAAGGGGACTGGAGTTGCTGGGATGCAGCCATATGGCCCTCCTTGCCCAAGCCTGGAGGTAAGAGATGGTCAAGACCCTTGAACGAAGCTGATGGGTACCTCTGCCCGCTCGCGCTGGTATACATCCTGGCGCGCGATCGTGCATCCAAGGGTGTTGGGCCTAGGCCTTGCCATTCACGCCCATGCTGCCGCTGCCACGCTGCGAAAGCCTGCAACAAGTGCAACGGGCACTGGCTGAGCTTGTGCTGTACATTGTCCCACACCGAGGATGCAACGGACACATCAGGGAATTGACCCTCCATGCGCTCCACTATTTCCTGGGCTTGGAGGACGCCTGGAAAGGACTGCAGGTATGCTCCCAGACCGTGTTGGCAAGGCGTGCGGTGAGCGGATCACTGATGCTCCCCGGAATGGACGGAACATTGACAGCCTCTGGCAGGAAACAAGCCTTACTTGAGCAAACGCAGCTCAGTAGGGAAAAAACTGCTAGCAGCGATGGCACATGAAAACTACTGCCTATGGCTGAGTTTCGTCGCTGCACGCGTTCGTCCGAATGACCTGGCGTGGCACTTGTGCAGTCTGGCGGTATTCCCATCAACTGAGAGCGTTCGTCAGGGGAGGGAGTGCGCCATTTCTTTTGGTGCCAGAGGAGGGAGTGTTCCGCATATGCACCTGGTGGAAAACGCTTCCCATCCTCCAAAAACCTGGCAGCTGCATCCGGTGACACCTCATGGAGGTGGTCTTCAGGATGGTGGAATTCCCTTGTGAGGGTGTGCATGGGCGGTGCCTCCGACCGCATCACCGCCTCAGGCTGCACTAGTGGCTTAAACCCTTGTTCCCAGAACACCCGGTTAGGCAACGGCTTCTTCCCGACATGCGCAAGTGAAGGCCCATGCTGAGATTTGCCCTGCAGCCACTCCCAGTCCAAGGGAGCCTGGCACTTGGAGGGGTTGGGGGAACCCTTGTTACCTACTAACCAGTACAGACAACTCCTACGGGTCCAACCGCAAGTGGCAGCGTCAATAGAGATGGGGAGGCCACCCATCCATTCATTATACTGCTTGACAGCGCGCTTGTCAGCCCCATCCGAAATTTCCAGGAACCCCACGATTTCCAGGTGCTTTGATGCTGGATGGTCGCGCAGCTTCTGAAGGAATGATGCTAGGAACCATAATTGGCTTGCACTGGGGTCATGGCGGCCTTCACGCGACAGATTCAGGGCACTTTGGCACGGCGAGCCACCGCCCACGATAATACCCCTGACCTGTCTGCGTTGCAAAAATGGGAGGATCATGTCAATGGATAACTCCTCCACATACGGGATGTGCACGATGCTAGGGAAACACTTCCGGGCGCATTTCACGACTTCCGGATTGGATTCCGCTGCCAAGCAATGGAACTGAAGGCCAAGGCTCAAGAGCGCGACACAGAGGCCTGCTATGCCTGACCACAAATCTAGCACGAGCCACCTCCCCTTGATGGCCCTGGCCCAGGGCACTTGGAGTAGGTCGCCACGGCCCCTCCATGTGACTGGCCTTGCTGATGCCAGTTCTTGCGCCACATCACTTGCGAACATACGCGGCACAGCCTGCACCAAGTTGCGAGATGCCTGGGACTGAGGGGGTCTGGTCTCAGCGGGTTGATGCACAAGGACAGATCTGGTTGGGCGCTGTCTACATGTGACTACCTCTTGACCCAGCTCGGTTGTACTTGGCGCAGTTGTGCCATGACATTGCGGGCTGAGCACTGACATCTGCTGGGTCTCCTGGGACTTTGGATGACACGGGAGAGGGAAGCCCAGCTGCTCCAGAAAGGACAGAACTTCGAAAGGGCTGCAAAAACTCCCTTGTTAGTATAAGCAGTGAGGGCCCATCTCTCGCCTTGAAAGGGGGCGGTGCCACGCAAGATTGATGGAGGGAACGCGCGAGGCTGTGCTCTGGTAGCAATGGTGCTACCCCACAAGGCCTTGCCTGTGCCATCTGGCATGGGGTCACTGCCCCCCCGGGCTTCCAGCCACACTCCGCCTCCGGAGAAAGGCCCCAGTGAGACCGAGCAGTTCAGATCCAGGTTATGGACATCACGATGCGGCCTTGCTAGCTCATTGTGAGAGATCGCAATACTAGACCAATGAAAACCCGGGAAGCACGCCTGCATGAACGCACACAGCTGCTTAACAACATGAGGCAGCTGACGCGTGAGAGAAGTGACACCGTTCCTGGAACCATGACTGAAATGGCCTAGGACAAAGTGGTTGGCAACTTCCGAAGCTTGCAGCATATCCTTGGGGACAGGTTGTCTTGCAAAAGGCTGAGACACGCATCGGCCACTGCGGTTGGGACATCCTGCCCGCACGTCACAAGTGACGCAAGATGCTCTGGCACAGCATCGCAACTGCAACCTCCCCCATTCACCTGGGCGCCTCCCTGGGGCCAAGAGGCGTCCCTGTTTCAGGGGTGCGTCAATCTGGTGTGTTTGGTGCTCCCACACGCAGAACCTGATGGCAGCTGAACGTCACAAGCGTGAACATCACCACAGTCACCCTTGCACCCGCGGCCGTCATTGTGGGGTTTACACAGACGCCTGCCACCTTTCAGCATGGAAACTGTTTTAACAGCACCTGCCGACCGCGGTTGCTTCAAGGGCGTGGGAGTGTTCTCGTCAGACTTCCGCTTGCGGTCCTCCCCGGATGGGGCGGTGGGCACAGACGATGCTTTGGGAGTAGGGCTCCTCCACTCCAAGTGGGTTTCATGGAGTGCTTCCTGCAGGCTCTTGCCCGCGGACCATCCACGCCTCACCTTGGATGCCATGAGGCCTCGCGTCAGGGTGTCGTTCTTTTGAAGCCACTGCACTGAGCCTGCCCCATACTGCATGGTGTCACGGAGGCATGCATCTGCATAGTTGATGGCATCTTCGAGCTGAATCATCCGGCGCTCAACGCCGTCTGGATCCTTGACAACGTAGTTGCCCGTGAAGGCCCAGGCGTAAGCCAGGATGCGGAGAGCGAAATAGTAGTCCACCACAGTGTTGATCGTTTGCTGCGCCTCCTTTGCGAAGTGCAGTGTCACAGATCCATTCAAGGTGACCTGATCCTGGGCCGAAGGTGTGGTGCTTGCAAGGACACTCCTGACCTTCCTAACCTCTAGGACAGTAAGCGTCTTGCGCCTGAACTCTCTGAAGACGCGACCTCGCAATGTGTCGGCTGGCTCGAGGTGCGGGTCTATGACGAACCCGTACTTCGTGTTCCAGTCGCGCTGGAGTTGCGCTAGCTGCTGCTCTTGAAGTGGCTCGTCCAGGTCGTCCAGCCTGGCTGTGGCAGATTGCGAGTGCTCGATAGCTTTGAGGCCTGCTTCGTAAGCACCTCGGAACCGAGCACAAATGAGCCTGCTGTCCTTGAGAGAAGGAATCTCGTCGAGCAAGTTCTTGACCTCCTCCTGCCACTTGGCCCTATCAACCAGGTACACAAAATCGTCCAATGTCTCCAGGTGAAAATGGGCTACAAAGGCTTTCTCCCAGGATTCTTGGACATTGGCTGATGCCAAACAAGCATGGAGGCCGCGGTCCCCCGACTGCAGATCAATGCTGCGAGACTGGGACATGGCTGCTGCAGAGCTTATACCTGAGGCCAAAATTGCTCACTGTGATGAACGGTTGCGGCGCATGCTACAAGGCACGAAAGTTTTCACTTGGCACGGCATGCATGGGCCTTTTTGCGAAACCTGCATGTCACCCGGGCTAATCCATAGAGGCCAAAGACGTTGTATCCTTGGGCCAAGGGTACAACATGTTTGGCCTCTACGCATTGGGAGAATCCGAGACACAGGCTGCGGGACATGCCTCACAATCTGACCCGAAATCCTCCTCCAAGCTAAATGCGCCATCCGCTTTCGCGAGCGATAGCAGAGAGGGGAAAAAAATAATAGAAAAAAATGTATGTACTCTCGCCCGGCGGGCGCCGGTCACGAACAGCATTCGCAAAGGTCACCTGCGTCTGGCCCAGGCAGTGGGAGGGCCTTCGAGCAACGCATCGTAACGATGTCGCGGAGCACCCATCCCGAGCACGCGTGCCAGAATAAGGAGGGCATGCCCCGCCGCACACACGTCTGCTTCAGTACAGGCTGGCACCATGGCACAGACCTAGGACTGAGACAGTTAATGCAATAGCTGGCTCGGGCACAGACTATCACGGGCGGTTGTTGCATGCAGTCGCGCCAACTAAAAAAAAAACACGCACGCATGAGGAGGCCATGAGACATGAGAAGCAACAGTCGGCTCCACGCGGATTTTCCTTTCACAATGAAAGCTCTCGAACTGCCTGCTTGACATATCGAGGTGCTCGTGCTAAGCATTTGCTGCAGTACTTACTCAGGGGCACTGAGGTGAGGCCTACACCCTGCTGGGTCGGGTCCTGGGGGAATGCTGCGGTACGGCACCAGGGAACGCTGCGAACGTGCTCATCCTTCTCCCTTGTCAGGTGGTACTTATCCTGGAACCACTCCATGCCCTCGCACGCTTGAGGCGCAGCGGCATTCTCCGACGCTGACCCTTCACTAAAATCACTGGAAGATGACGAACTGGAAGATGAAGCCTTCTGGGCCGCTCCCTTGCGTGATGCACGCTGTACTTGGGACTGGCTCACCTCTGCCCACGTGAAGGAGTCTGGCTTCAGTAGCGATGACTGAGATGCATAATCAGCAGCCTTGAGTCTATAAGTTCTACGCAGCTTGGCAAGCAATTCCAACTTGACCTTAGCGCTGCGCGCTACCCGCTCCCCAGCATAGTGGACGGACATGGTCAGTTTCTGCGACTGCGGCTTAGCGCTCTGGATATTCTCTGTCCAGGAGCCGATGGACTGGGCATCGGCCGGGGGCGCGTCGTAGACCATGCCAGCCGTAGGCATAAATCTACGTAAGCGATTGTAGTGCGCAGTGTAGGCTCTGGCTGGCGGCAAACCCGCTCTGATGAGCAAGCCCCTAAAACATTCCATGAACCGAGATCTGGACATACTCTTGTGCACTAGAAACGGCGTCTCCTCAACAATTTGCCAAAGATTATCCTGAGATAGCTGCACTGCCGGCCACAGGAACCGGGCTTGCGGGTGTGCAACTTCTTCCTGGAATTGAAGCAAAGTGTTCTTCAGGCTGAAGTCACCCTGCCGAATCTCCGGGCACGCCCATCGGTACGGAGGGCGAACGCCTCCACGTTTGGATTTGCCCACACTGCATTCAAATTCCAGCCAATCTGGGTGAGCTTGAACGAGCCTAGATCTCTGGATATGAGCGAAACGTATGCAGGACACAGCGCTCTGAATGACAAATGCAGCAATCACCCTGCCTGGTCCTGTCAATTCTAACGCCAACAAGAGGAGATTCAGGAACTCCCAAGGCTCTAGTTCGTCAGCCTGGCACGCTCGGTGTTCGCAACACACACTCTTATAGGGGGACACCAAGAAGTGCTGCAGCGGCCATTGCACTCCGAAGTTTTTGGCGATCCAACTGAGGCTTTGGAACACTGAAGCAGCTGCAGTCGGGCCGCCTTGCGCCACATCTTGAAAGAACGACGCCAGCGCTGCAGGCGCTGGCGACACGACAGAAAGATGCCTTGCCTGAGCATACTTAATCCAGCGACGGAGGCTTGATGTTGCAGTTGCAATGTAAGCAGGAGATGAGCCTGCTGCTCCCTGCATAAGCAATTGCTGCGTCCTGCTCCGAAGGAATGATGCCGAGCTGGGTTAAGTCCAGGATATGTTCATCCAACACCTCAAACAAAGCCCTAAGCTTAGCTTCCTTGACAGTGGACATCTGTGGCTGCTGCTCCATGCTGCCAGCAGCACTATGGGGCGCAACCTCTGACGCAGTTTGGCGTAGGAGCATTTTCGCTGGCCTTCGCTGGTGCTCAGATCCTTGCTCAGATATATACGGCGCTACTTTGCTTGGTCTCTTGCGGCAGCTTGAGTCTCTCTCGGCTTGTATGAACTGCGCATGAGCCTGAACCTCTCGGCATGCGATGCGCTTTGCTCGAGCATAGAACTCGGCAGCTGCGATTATGAGATCCGGGGATGACGCTGGAAGTGCAGAAACTTCCTCAATGAAGGCTTGTGAGTCGAGCCATATGCCCGTGACATCACGCGCACTTTCGACACCCTCAGATTGAAGCAAGCGCCGTATTTCTGGATTGATATCTGAGTCACTCCCTTTCAAGTTCAAGTCCATAGCTGCGGAGGAAGAAATTGATGAATAGGAGTTGCTACACGCAGCTTGGACCCAAACTGCAACGTAGCATACAATGCATTTCATGGTTCAAACAGACACCAGACCAACCTGCCATGCTAGTTTGAATCCCAAATAGAAGGTATTCATTACCCCAAAACAACCAACCCCAAACAGCAAACCTTAAACCCTAAACCCTAAGCCCGAAACCCTAGACCCTACCCCTCCCCTAAACGTTTCGAGGGTTTAGGGAGCTCGTCGTGGAACCGCTTCGAGAAGAGCCCAGGGCGCAGGCGGTCCATCGTGCACACCGTGCAGGTTGAAATGGAGGCCTCTCGGGCTTCGGATGGTTTAGGACTTAGGGTTTAGGGTTTAGGATTTAGGGTTTAGGGTTTAGAGTTTAGGGTTCAGGATTTGGGGGTTAGGGTTTAAGGTTTCGGGTTCAGGATTTTAGAGTTCAGGGATAAGGTTTAGGGTTTCGGGCCTTGGGCAGTTCCGGAGCTTCTGGGAGAGCTTGAAACCGAGCACTCTGATACCTCACTTCAGTCACCCATATTGGGGTCTTCCCCTTATACTAACAGCCCTCAGTACGGATTATACTTGAAGGTACTGCAATCCCTAGTAAGGACGGTTAGCATCAGGGGGAACATCCCAAGACCCATATCTCAAGGCTTTGGTGCAGAACCAGCTTGGGTTTGGGACTCACTCGCTTGCAGAAAGAAGCTCTCATCTGCCCCTGAAAGCACCTGAAAGCCCTCTGAATGCTAAACCCTGAACACCTCTTTCCCTAAACCCTGAACCCTAAACCCTAAACCCTAAACCCTAAACCCTACAGTAAACCCTAAACCCTCCCAAAAAGAAACAAAAAACACGCTCCGAATCCCGGAAGTGAGGGCCGGGCAGGCATCAAAGGTGACCGGGGGCAATGGCCATCCTTGGGTCTGTCGCACAAAGCCCGAGGAGGCCCCAAACCCCAAAAACCTTTGTAGGGTTTAGGGTTTAGGGTTTAGGGTTTAGGATTTAGGGTTTAGGGTTTAGGGTTCAGGGTTGGGTTTAGGGTCCTTCGTGTGTGTGTGTGTACGATTTAAGGGGTCAGACTGCACGTTCATTCGTGGGAATCTACATCACGAAGTAGCCACCCTAAACCTTTAGCCCTAAACCCTAAACCTTAAACCCCAACGGCTACGCCCTAAGATCTGCAAAGGGCTGAAGGTGTGTGGCAGTCTGGCCCACAACCCACAAGTACCTTCGTTCGACTGTCAATCCCTACGGCATGGTTTGTTTGGGGTTTAGGGCCTTTAGGGTTTACGGTTAAGGGTTTCGGATTTCGGGTTTGGAGAAATACGGCGGCCAGTAGGTACTCTTCTGCGGGGGGTCCTTGCGCAAGGCACCGGAAGCCTGCATCGAAATCAACCTGAAACCTCAAATCCCCTGGACAGCTCGGGTCGCGACCTAGGAGTGGATCGCCCTTAGATGCACCGGGACATGAAGGGATTCTTGAAGGTTCGTGGGTATCTGGGCCTTAGGGTGCCGGGGTGATAAGTAGGGCAACTTGACTTGCGACTGGTCATGGCCTTGCTTAGGGATGCTGAACTAGTTAGAACTAACCCCATGTACTCTAAAATTCAAATCCCTACTGGGCCTCGGGCCCCCTAAACCCTAAACCCTAAACTCTGAACCCTAAACCCTAACCCCAGCCCCTAACTCCCTCAACCCTCTCCCCCAACACCCGAAGCCTAAACTCTGAGTGACTAAACCCCTCTCGTGCGCGCGCCGAAGAACATCGAGGGACCCTCTGGAATGGACCCCCAAGAGGGACCCCAGGCTCGGGTCCCTCTTGAGAATACAGGGTTTAGGGTTTAGGGTTGAGGGTTGGTGTTTCGGGTACCCAGCAAAGGGAGAACGGCCCTCGCGCTTCTGTTTCGAGGGCCCTGCCCACTCCAGGAAGAACTTTGAGCCAGGTCCGAGATGACCAACCTTAGGGCACTGCGCTAAGGACCTCGAATCAGGAGTTCAATTGGGTTTGGGGTTGAGGGTTTAGGGTTTCAGGCTTAGGGTTTAGGGTTTTGGGTTTAAGGTTAAAGGGTTTAGGTTGTTGCTCTTCTGTGGGTTCTCGGGTTCAGGGTTGCCAGGTTTAGGGTCATTGCGCGGGTGGATGGGGCACGGGGGCTGCCCCTAAACTTTGGGCAACGCACTTTTGGGGCAGCCCCTGTATTGTATACCAGGAACTTACAATACGTACAAGAACCCCCCCCCCAAAAAAAGGGACCCAGATTTAGGGAAGCGTTGGAGGGGCATCAGCGGCATCTGGCGTAGGCCCCGGGCGTTGCCATGGTCCACAATGCACCCTGGACGCCCACCCCACTGTAGCCATCGGAGGCGGAAGGGCCATGACCTGCCAGTGCTCTTCGGCTGAGGCTTCAGGGTTTAGGGTTGATTGTGGGTATGGGATGCTTGGAAGCCCTTTTGGACGGAGAAAGTAGGAGTAGTAAGGTGGGTTATGGAGTTTTAAATAGGGCATACTAAGTAGACTTATTAACTCAAATGCGCTTCTAAGTACTGCCCTGCTGACAGAATAACTTGCCGGCCAGGCCCGGGCGTGTAAAGCTGCCACAGGATCTGGGCCAAGACTGTGTACAACGCCTGCGGAGAGGATGGCAGCGCTGGACTTGCTAGTGCAAGATAATTGCAATCTGTCACCGGAGATCAAGGCGAGTCAGCGATCATCTGTGTATCTAGCAGGACGGCTCAGCAAATATTCTGCGGTTTGACACGGCTGTCTTGAGTGTCCATCCCAAAATGGGAGCTGTTGCGCACGGCACTTAAGTCCACAACAAAAAACCATAGTCGTGCGCAGACCACTCTACCGACTATTCTGCGCAGCCTCGAAACCCTAAACCCTAAATCCTAAATCCTAAACCTTGTGGTGGCAAGGGCTCTGCCATCGGTGTGACGCCCGCCAAGTCGTGCAATCAGGGCAGAGAGGGATCTCGGGCATACTTCTCGGATCAAGAGAGATGTGCAGCAAACAAACCCAGAGCCAGTACCTCCCATAATGCGTCAACCTACCTAAAACTTACCTTATAATATGGATAAACAAATATAAACAGATAAATAAATAATATATAAATAAATCACATATATATATATATGTTATTTATACACACATATTAGTGATTCGAGATCTGAATTTATGAAATTTATATGTTTAAAGATGCACTTCATTTCAGGATTCTTGTCTGGGAGGAACTCTGGAAAACAAGTGCACTGTCACTTCATGGTCCAGGGAGGTATGGGAAGGGGTCCGTTGTAGTATGGGCTTGGGGTTTGGGGTTAGGGTTTATAGGGTTATAGGGTTATAGGGTTATAGGGTTATAGGGTTATAGGGTTATAGGGTCATGGGGTTTAGGGTTTAGGGTTTAGGGTTTAGGGTTTAGGGTTTAGGGTTTAGGGAAACTCATGGCATTCTGTATCCCAGCCTGGCCTGCAACATCGGAACGCTGTCTCCACTCTTCAAAGGCAGGCGCATATCCAAGCCGCGGAGGCGCACTGAGACGCCCCGCCTGTTTTTTGCGGTTTAGGGTCTAGGCTTTAGTGTCTGGGGTTTAGGGTTTGGGGTTTGGGGTTTAGGGTTTAGGGTTTGGGGTTTGGGGTTTAGGGTTTGGGGTTTAGGGTTTGGGCTTTAGGGTTTGGGGTTTCGGGTTTAGGGTTTAGGCTTCCGGCGTCTCAGGGCTCAAGGACACTCTCCAGTCGAGGCCTGCTACCGGCATTGAGCTTCACCAGCAGCCGCCAGTCGACTAGCAGCAGCAGGCTACGGGCCTGGGTTTAGGGTTTAGGGTTTAGGGTTTAGGGCTTAGGGTTTAGGGTTGAGGGTTTAGGGTTTAGGGTTTAGGGTTTATGGTTTAGGGCTTAGGGTTTAGGGCCTGCACTTTTCTGACATTCTGCAGAATACAGATACACACATCATAGTTTCATATGTATACTACATCATTGTGTGTATACTTAAATACGATGCATATTTGTTTATTTAGGTATTTATTTACTAGACGTTTATGGTACTATTGTAAGACATTTAGAGATTCAACAGTGCATATAGTGTTTTATATAGACGTCTACATTTGTGTACGTGTATATATATATATATGTATATATATATATATGTATATGAACTTGTGGCTTCCTTATTTTAAGGCGGACCCTGATATTCAGGGTACCCCAAAAGGGACCATAATTTCCAGAAGTGACCATAGATGTAACGATCAGACTCCCAATGGCAGGGCTCTTGCTTCTCTCTCAGGCAAAATTTCGGGACCGACCGTGGGCCGCATCGCAAGCATCAAGAAGCATAAGCAACCCCAAACCCTAAACCCTAACCCTAAACCCTCAACCCTAACTCTAAACCCTAAACCCAAAACCCTAGCCCTAAATCCTAAACCCTAAACCCTAGCTTTAAACCGTTCCTGTAAAGCCCTGCTTCCCCGCCTCTTGCACGTTGAGACGGGACGATGCTTCCGCAGGTAAGACTGTACTTAGAAACTCCAACACACACCTTTAAGGGTTTAGGTTTTAGGGTTTAGGGTTTAGGGTTTAGGGCTTAGGGTTCCCAACACTCAAAGACTGAACAATGACACAAGCACATCAGCCGTCGGCCTGCGGCGCTGCGCCGTGGAGGCCCTCGTGACCGTTCCTTAGCAGGCTTGGCTGGCTGGCTTCGGGTTTCGGGTTTCGGGTTTCGGGTTTCCTCGGGTTTCGGGTTTCGGGTTTAGGGCAAAGTTTAGGGTTTCCTAGTACTAGTTCATGGTTTGGATAAATTTAACTGTCTATTCCTTGAGTTTAAGTACCTTTAAAAATGTAAGGAATGAGGGAATGAGGTACCCTACATCATCCCGCAAAGGGGTATTTATAGAGCCCGAACTCCCTCATTCCCTGCCAAGAACCAGTGGGTTGGGGTTCACGGTTTTTTCTTCGGTCGTGGGGTTAACCATCGAGCGGCGCGGTTGAAG